AGATACACAGATTCAGATACAGATACAGATACAGCACTGCCCCGTAACCGTAAGTGGCTGCCGTCAATTATAACATTTGTGACAGTTGAAACTTTCAAATTAACCCACACATAGAGCATTTGCTTATCGCAGTAACCCAAAAAAAAGACTACAAAAAACTACAAAATATACACTGAAGCAAAAATGAATGCGAAATTTTTGTCTTCTTTTGCATCAGCCAAAAGGTAGTGGTAATGGAGTGAATACGACCTAGAAGATACCTTGTTCGTAGATAAGATCTGGCAGGCAGTAGGTGGGGGACTATCTGGAGTTCTAGAGCTAACAAATAGTTCCTTAAAACAAGAAGAAAAGAGTGCTTTATCTGCAGACCAAGACAATATACAATACTCCTTCATATCTGCTCTCTTCCACCCCTTTTCGAGGTATCCCATGGCTTCTTAGACCCTATCTTCTCCAAGCCAACACATTATACCCTTTAGTTGCTCAAGTACAGGGTACACAGAGACAAGCCAACCCGCCATGGCCATTGGAGGAGGCATTAGACGACTTCAAGTGGCAGCCAAGCGGCAACGAGTGACCCAAATACTTCAGCGACTGGCTTCAGCTTCGGCTTCGGCTTCGACTGCAACTTCAACTTCAGCTTCAGCTTCAATGTTGGCCTGGCTCTTAGCTCTTAGCTCTCTGGCTTGGCTCTGGCTAACGGTAAATGGCAAAAAACTGCGTCTGCTGCCAATGCTGTTAACCGCATTTCGCATGCACTCGCACACTCGTATCTAATAGATACATTTCGCATGCCGTGACTGCCACGCCCCTCCCCACTCAGCCCCACTTTTCGCATGCAGGCACGCACATGACATTCTTTTCGCTTCGGCTACAACAATTTTTCCCCCTTTTATTTTTTTGGTTTTTGTTTGCAATATTTTTTTTTTTGTTTTTTTTTTTGTCAACAGCAATGACACTTTTATGGTTTTTGTTGGTTTTTTTTTTTTTCCTGTGGCCAGTGGCAGTGCAACTATTTTTTAATTATTTCATTAGCAGGGCCCAAAGGCTGTTAATTATGGAAGAGTGAAGCGTGGGGCGGGGGCGGTGAAGGAAGTCTGTCTCAGACATCTTGACACCGATATATGTACATACGTGTAGGCCCATGAGGGAGGGCGAACCGCACCGCCTCGACTCTGGCAGGTCTTTGAACTTGAATTTAATTAAGAAACTTAAAAGTCGGCCAACAACCTTAAGAAAGCCGAAAAGTAAAAGTTGATCCACGAGTGAATCATTCAATCCAGCGATGAAAAAGAGTCTTTATTCATTCTTCGATAAACAAAAGGTGAACGAAATAAACACATAAAAGATCGTGATTAGGGAGATATATGACGGTTTTAGCAGGCGTGAAAAGATACTAGGCATTACTGGAAGGTTTAAAGATGCAAAACAATATTTTATAGACGTATAAAAAGAGTGGCAAATAATGCTTTCGGAGGCACAATTAAAAGTATTTGGCCACAGTATATTTTTTAGAATTTAATGTTCCATTTAGAGAGGCCTTAAGGATGTCGATGAGGCGTGTCTTTGGCCTTCCCTCGCGGACTGTGGATCCCACAAGCAGCTCAAATTCTTTAGAACTCAAGAGTCAGTAGAGAGGTTAAAATATTAAACCCTTTGTGTGTTTAGACCGGACATACCTGCCTCGACTTTCCACCCGGACATACCAGATTTAGGTGGAGATTCTTTGGGCTTTTTGGACTTCGATTTGTATGAATCATCATCTGGTGTTTGATTTATGGGGGATTTTTTGTAGATCTCAAAGTTGTTTTGCCACCTACTGACGCAGTTTCGGCTGGCATTCCGCGGAAATTCATTAGCGAAACAGCCTTTATCTGGAGCACATGCATTGTCGTCATATGTTTGCCGATAAGGTAGCTGTTCTCCCCACCCTGAGATACATTTTTTATGAATGAAACAGAAGTAACCTCAGGCGATCGAAACGAACGTAAATTGAGGATGTGAGTCATGCTGGAGCCCAGGGGCAGGCAATGGCATTTATATATGGCGCATCTCTGGCATCTCAGTCTTAATTTGTATCTCAAAGATATCCCAGAGCTCTTGCAGATACAGATATGCAAACAGCAACAATCTAGCAAACAAATAAGCACACAAACACCAGAGTCGTGACAAAAACAATAGTTGTTCTCTTATAATTTGCATTTCGGTCTTAGATTCCGTTTGCTCTGCACGTATCTGAGTATCTTTCCACCTGCCTGCTTGGCCTGGCCTTTCGGTTGTATTGATAAGAAAATTAGTTGCCCAAGCAAATGCCAGGGAAGACAACTTATCGGCTTTGTCTGGCCCCAGGCGCTGGCCCGGCCCCCGGGCTGGCATTCCCGGGCCAAAATTCTCGCAAAATTAATTATAATCAAGCTTTGCGAGAGTGCTTATTGAACGTGCTGAATTATTAATTATTTATTGGTGTTTAGCAAAGATATATTGAATGAATGCCTGCAGGCCCGAGAGGTTCCACACATTTGCCCAGACAATTGGAAAACATAACGAAGAGGCAATCAATGTTTAATTAAGGCTATATGTAGTTGGGCAGAACTATTAGAGACCTTTGGAAAGAGCCTCTAAAGGAAGATGGACTTGTTTTGTGCAGGGTTTGCATTGAAGAAAGGCTTTAGTTATAGATCCTTCTTATAGCTTCTATGCCAGTCTCCTTCGGCAAACCGATTAACGTGAGATTCAAGTCAGGGAAAGCTTAAATATTCGTGGTACCCATTACCTCCAGTTTTAATGCCGAAAGAGGAAAGGGATCAAAAAACTCAAGGCCTTGAGAAAGGGCCTTTTAAATTGTAAATCTTACGAGTGTACTCCTCTTTTAGAAAGTTTATTTGTATTATTCTTTAAGGTGTACAGGATATGGCTTCATTTGAGTGTTTGGAACGATATAGGGGCACCCTAAACACATCATTCGCCCTGCACTACATTTAAGCTACTCCTCCAATTTATTGGCTTTTAAATACCTAATATTTCAGGGCTTTTCTGTACCTTTTCAACCTCTTGCGAGGGCCCCGGCAATGGAGTACTTTTTAGTTCTGGGGCCACCTTAAAATACATGATATTCCAAGTCTTGCCTTGAAAATACTTATACCTGGCAAAGAGGCACCCTCTTCCTCGTTGGATCGCCCCTCTGCTTCCCTGATTCGCACCCTTTGTGCAACCGCAAATGCAAGTCAAGTTGAAATGAAAGAAATTTCCATAATTAGCGTTAATTGCTGCTTAGTTGTGCAAATAGAACACAAACCGAAAGGGAAAGTGGGCGAGGGAGAGCTAAGAGGGGCCCTGGACGGGTCTGAGAAAAGAGTGCGGTCTACTCCTCTCCTCCCCCTCCCCCAAGCGAGAACAGTGCAGCGGCATTTTGTGAGTCATCAAAGAGAAAAGTGAACAGCTTGCGGTCCAAAGGGGGGCAGAGTGGGGGGGTGAAACCTCAAGTGACCGCCATTCCCAGTGCTATCCGGCTCCCAGCTCCCAGCTCTCGACCGTTTTTGCGCCCCTCTGTTTGCCAGGGGCAACCACCTCCATTTACTGCGGAAAAGTGAATGGCAACCTGGGCCGACCAGTGGATAATTTGTGGCAAGTGCTGCACGGCCACTCCCTGTACACTCCATTCCATTGCACGGCCCCTCAAAAGAGCGAGAATCAAATACACACACCCCATGAAATGTCAAAGAGGTTGGAGTTGGAGTTGGAGCCACTTTAGCCCCACAAATTTTCGCACAAAGTTTGATCAAAAAAGCAAACATTTATCAATTGAAATTTGCTCGGACAAATCGAAAAAAGGCAGAGGATGGGGAGTAGATATCGCTGATATGAATCTGCAGAGTAAAAATGCTGCTGCTGCTCCCCTTTTGGAGAGGGGAGTTTCTCTAGGGAAACCTAGAGAAAAGTAGTCGAACAATATCTCAATATCTATCAAAAATCAAAAACTTCTTAAGACTTCTACAACTGCAATGTCTGTGCTTTCAATAAACCCTTGAGACTTACTTTTGGCATCACTTGTAATGGTTCCAGGGGCAAGGAGTATCCCCATTCAGCCCCAAAGTAGAGCATCAAAGTTGTCGCTTCGATCGACTGCCCCAAAAGCAATCCATCGAACGAGTCTTTGAGTCGTTGTCTCTTGGTTTTTGCGTGCGGCGTGTGCTGGCTTTTAATTGAATTGAATTGAATTGAGCGTGGCCAGACCCAGAGCTCCACTGAGACAGCCAGACAGTGTCTGTCTAACCCCCAAAGACAGTCGGCAGTGTAAGACACACTTTGCATGTGACTTTGGGGCGTCTAAGCAAAATGGTTAGGGCGTGGACATGCCAAAGTTGTTGACGTTGTCTTGGATTTTGGCTCTCTGGGATCTCTCTGGCAGTCAACAAGTGCCAACCACTTGAGAGTTTTGTCAGTTTGCAGTTTTGTGGAATTTCCATGCAAATTTCAATCCAGCAATGCCCCCCAATCCTCCCACTTCCACTCCCACTCCGCCGCCTCATTTTGTTATATCAAATTATTTCACTCAAGTGACATCATCATCAGCAGCAGCAGCAGCAGCATCTTCATTGGGGCAAAGTGGACGTAAGGAGCTCCTTCGAGCACAGCTTCACCCTGACCTCGTAAAACTTTTGCCGCATTTTCGCACGTGGCCATAAAAAGAGCAGACCGGGGTCTGGTCTGCGGGCTGGCGGAGGAGGTGTGGCCACTGCAGGATATGGTGTGCCTTGCCAAGACCCAAACGAAAAACGATGCAAAGATGGACTTCCTGCCTTTGGCATGAGGGCGAAAATCCTCCAAAGATTGCATAACTGCAGAAGTAGGAGGACAAAACGAAACTTTTATGTCTGACCTTGTTGCACGGTCAGTTGCTTACACACACACACACACACAGATGTTGGGGGTGTTCTTTGGAGGGTGGAGGGGGGGCCTTAATTGAAATTGAAATGGAACTTGTTGTCACTTGCACTTACACTTCACGCCGAAACGGTTCGTATACGTAATCATCGTTGATTGTTGCTTACCTGCAAGGAGAAGAGAGGGCAAAGAACAAGAATTAGCCAAGAATTTACACAGATTTTCCCTAGATTTTAAGGCCTAGAAACATATTTTATATGGCCATAAATTTAATCATAATTTTCATGGCTCTAAAAACACTTGAGGCTTCATTTTCGTGGCTCAAAGATTACTTGACGCTTCATTTTCACGGCTTAAATTATATATTTCCATACTAAAACCATAATTTTCCAGGCTCAAACACCAGTTAGAGCATCATCTGCTTGGTTTGAACACAACTGAATGCTTTTAATGCATCATTGACTGCACTTCGATGATTGCCGGCGTATTATTAATTCATAAACCTCATTTGGGGAAACACGGCTAAATGGATATACAATATACCCGACCAGTAACCGACCAGACTCTCGTCTTTTTTTGGATGGATGGATTTGCAAACAGCAGCGGCCCGGCCCCAACAAATATAATTGAAAAGCGAAAAAACAGAGAGCGTCCATGTTGATTGCCATCTGTCGAGTATACCCTTCGAGCGGAATAAATTGATTACATATTTGCTCATTTCGCTATGGAATATTGTATTCGTGTATTTATTTGTTTCCCGAGAATACGCATAAATTGTGCATTATATTTCTTGTGAAGAAATGCGAGTGCGGGCAAAGAGTTATTGGAAAAGAAAATAAATCCATTTGATATTTCTCAGATACATTTCCATGGAATATATCTCTTATTTTAGAGGCAGTTAAGGGGAATAAAATTTGAGAAATTAGCAAGAAAGAAATTTATAATGGAAAATATATTTTTCCTAAAGAAAAGAAACGTCTGAAGTTCTTTGAAGGCTTTACAAATACCAAAGTATCTATAGGATACATTTTTCACCATTTAATTAAGCCACAATTGAATTCAATACGAAATTTTGAAATAACGCCTTTCGGGGGGCTTGGTCAACGAGGGATAATGCAAATTTCCTGAATATTTCATGGCTATATGAATACATTTTCGAACAACACCACAAATCAACACAGTGGCGTGGCAGGCAGGGGGGGCCTGCCATTCAGAGTCCTATATCAAAACTTTCGACCGTCCCTGCTCTCAATCTTGGCCAGACTACGTTTCTGTTTCCGTATATATCCATTATATTACATTATATATATTTTTTAACCACCAGTCTGGCCTAGCCAGCGGCCTGTGGCCTGTGGCCTGGGCATGGGACTGCCAAATTAATTGCATAATTTAGTATTTCAGCAATTATGGATGTGTTGCATGTTCCGCATGTGCGGCAAATAATACCGAAAAAAATTCCGGGAATCCATTCGCGGAGCGAGATCGGGGCCATGGGATTCTATGAACCAGATTTAGAAACAGCAAAACAGGCAGCCGCCAGGCAAAAACTCTCCAACGACAAAACATTTAATATGAAAACAAATTTGTAAATACATTTTTTTTTTTTTTGCTGTTCTTTTCAGACAACATATGGATTTGATGTGATGTCGTTGAATGTACACGAAATACATGTATCTATATGTATTATTATGACGAGCCTCGACACATTTTGTGGCTTCTTTTTTTGAGCTTTTACGAGGCATCTGGGCGTGGCACAGTTTTGGTGCTTTTTTTTCCCGTGGTAAGTGCCAGAGTCATTTGGCGGTTTATGACTCCATACAACACAGTACCATATATTACAATAAGTCTTATGATTTGCCCAATAAATCCTTTGTCGCCTGAAATTTTGTTTTATTTGTATTTATTATTTATCTTTTTTTATGGTAGCCAGCACTTGGGGGCCTTTTGTGGGGGGAACTACAAAAATATATGATCTCAAATTAATTTAATGCGTGGCACGTGGCTGTGGAGCACAGAGGGAAAATGATGATGACTGTGCTGAGGTTCCACAAGAGATCTTATCTTTTTGGATCACAGGAAATTATGACTATTAAATGTATTACATTTTTTAATCAACTTATAAGAATTGACTGCCCATAGAATCCATTGAAATTTCCAGAATTATCCGCTTAGTCCGCAGGAAATTATGACTTTTACATGTATTCAATTTTTTAATCAAATTCTTAAAAATATTCGCGTATCTATGGACTACCCATAGAACCCACAGAATTCCCAGAATTATGATCACATTTTTTAATCGTGATATATTTCTCAAAAATATTCTATGGATATCCACCCAAAGAATTCCCAGAATTATCCGCCTAGTCTGGAGGAAATTATGACTGTTAAATGTATTAAATTTTTAAATCGTAATATTCTTTAGAATAAAGTTCTCAAAAATATTCTCTTAAATACATATCTATGGATAAGGTTCCACCTCTTGTCCACCAAAAGAATTCCCAGAATTATGACTATTAAATGTATTAAATATTTTAATCTTGATTTTATAGAATAAAGTTCTCAAAGGTATTCTCTTAAATACATATCTATGGACACGGTGGACTCTTGTCCACCCATAGAACTCGCAGAATTATCCGTCCAATCAATTTCTAATCACGTTTCAATTATAATCAACCTTGAATGGTCAATAAAACCGCAGGACATCATCATTTAGTCGCAACCTTTGGCATTGCACAGCGAAGTACATATAATAAAAGTAAATATACTTGGATATTTATCTTTAAACAAATTGGTTTACTTAACAAGCATTCCCAGTGAGCACCATTTGGTCCAACCCTTTCCCCGGCCGAACAATTGACCTCGGAATTCCAACAGCGCCACAGAGCCACCCACCACCCACCACCCCCCACCCAGTGACCCACCAACAGAACTGAGCACATTAACCGCTAAAATCCTCTTTCGACCACAAAAGTCACACACAAATGACCAGCAAACAAAAGAGCGAGAAAGAAGGAAAAACCAGTGGGGAAAATGGAAAAAATGGTAACCGAAATGTTGTTGGCAATTTATTTGACTGGAATTGGGTCCGGGACTGGCAGCCAGCGTCGAAATCGGGCAATCGAATGGCATCCAATCGAACGGAGTCGAGACCCCGTCGCGGGGCGGGGGGTGGGCCGGAGCAATTACAACAATCATAACGTGCCCCCAAACAGGCCTGGAAATTTTTTATATGAAATACAGCAAACAATGGCGAAATCAATATACATCGGCAGATACAGATACAGATACAAATGCCCCAACAGATAGAGGCTAGACAGTGCGTTTAATACACTTAAGGCTTTAGAAGGAGGTTATGGTTTTTAATGGCTTCAAGAATGGAGTCCTTATCTAGTCCTGATTTTTAATTAAAAGTTGGCTGAAGTCAACATTATGGCTATGAAACGCACTGTTCATCTTTTGTACATATAAAATATTTTAATAAATGAAGCAAAGCAGAAAAAAGCGCACAGAAAATTCTGGAAACAAAAAATCCAAAAAGGACAAACAAGAGCAACAAAAAAAGTTTAGGATCAAAAAGGAGAAAAGATACAAAAAAAAAAAAATTCAAGAAGCAGCAGAGAATCACATGAATGGCACTTAACTTGGCCAGAAGGGGCTGGGGGCGGGCAGGAGGGACATAAAGACAAAGAGAGAGAGAGAGATGGGGAGGGGGAGGGGGAGAGGGCGAAGTGAAGTGGGCCTCGAGGCCAGCAGACGGGGCCAGACGGTGGTGCGAGCGAGATAGCGCTAGCGAGATGGCCATACAAAAAACGTTACAGTTACAGTTACAGTTACAATTTTAATGCGCATTGCATGTGTGGCCCCCAGCCTCCATCACCCCACCCCTCCACCCCTCCGACACCACCACATCCCTTGTCTAAAAGTTTCTGTTGTTTGATGCCAATTTTTTGCATTTGCTTTTTCTACACCCCTTGCCCAGCCCTACCCAGCACTGCCTTTCGTTTCGTTTCGTTTCGTTCTGATACCCTTTCACAGAGAGGCCTTTACGGTTCTTAGATGCTTGCCAGGCAGAAGGGGATGGCATTTCAAGCGCTTAAAGTATAGATACATTGATTCTGAGTCGATATAGCCAGGCTCCTCAGTGAAGATATTGAAGAAAATTTGATATTAAATTTCTAGAGGTTAAATGTCAAGATCTAGGACTCTCGAGGCAACTCTCGAGGCTTTTGTGACCCAAAAAATATGAATTAAATCATGGGAAACATCAGCTTTATATATATGCACATATTTAAGGTCTTAACTCATCTGAATACTACCAAAACTATATCCCCATATTATATAGCTGTCAAAGCAGCGATCCGAAAGCCTCTCTTTGTAAGAAAATCCTCCACTATTTGTTCTTTTGTGTGTTTCTTTATACTTCAGATCCATTTAAAGATCATAGATTCCATTCCCTGGTGAAAAACGTAAGCCAAGGGTATTCAAAAGCCTCCGCCTCTGATATTCCCTCCCTGTACGTTTTGGTTCTTTTTTTTCGGGTGCTCTCTTCGGTTAGTAGTGTCGCTCTGTCTCTGTCTCTGTCTCTGTCTCTGTCTCTGTCGCTTTCTGTTCCTGTCGCCCTCTGTCCTGTTGGCTGCATTTGTCGGTTGTTGAACCCGCTCTCTCTCGCCAGAAGCTTTTGGAGTCCATAAGTGGCTCTGGCCAACAACAATAACAACAAAAGCAATACAAATCAAATGAAAGCTGCTGTCGCTGTCGCTGCTGCTACTGCAATTTTTTTCATTAGAGGCAAAAGAAAAATGCGACGAAATAAATAAAAATGCATACAAAAGCCACATAAAATGCGAAGGGCAGGAATCGTTGGAAGGTACACTCAAAAAAAACCCAAAAAAAACAAAAACAAATATATATTTGGGGAATCTTCTAAGCGATCTGGCAAAATCTCCAGATTTGGATCGGATTTAATGAGACTAGAATCTATTTTCGCATATTTAAAGATCCACCACAAATCTTTTTCTGTCAGTGTAAGGACTCCCCCAGTTTTTGTTTGTAATTTATGTTGTGCTCTGTTTTAATGCTGTCAACCGATATTGTTCGATAGATATATACTTTGTATCTTTTATAGCCACCGACGGACGGGGCACGCCTCTTGGCGGCCCATCCACGC